AGCGGACTACTCATTGTGGCGCTCCACCAGAATTGGTCCCATTGTCTGAGAATGAGCTTTAACAGGGCAAGCACGACGTGCTATGAATGACGGAAGAACTCCAGCTAAAAGAAGGCATTCCGTCTCTAGGCTATTCAACACTTTGATGTGGATCTGCTCCTCGGCAGTGAGGCATGTGTACAGCGCAACGCGATACGCTTTTTACTCTGAACAGCCTAGATTTCACGTAGGAAAGGGTCAATATGTCGCACCCCAACACAGCAAAAGCAAGGGCTGCCTGGTCCATCACGACAGCTCCGGTGGAAGATCGAGCCATCTTCTGATGGTGTGTTGGTGCAATAAGATTTGCTACGATACGGACACATGCGTGGTTTTATTTCCTTGGCAGCAGGCTTCTGGCTCGGTGACGATCAAGTACTTTTCGCCTGAAGTCGCACCTCAGCGACCACCGGTCCTAACTGAGCGGCATCACTGAACCTGCCTTTGAGCAATCATGCTGGAAGACTTTTATGCGCCGAGCGACAGGATGACGGGGGTGCTTTGCCTCGCTAACCCATCCTGGCATGCTTTTAGCCTCCGCTCTCTACCACTAAATCGCACTTGAATGGAGGAATAGGATTCAGTTTCTCACGGGACTGGAAGTAGCCACTGCGCTCGGTTCCAGTCAGGCTGGCGATCCGGACTTGCAAGTTTGGCCCGGTACATAGTGAACTACTTGCTCCTCAGCTCGAGCTAACTCCGATGCGGTTACGTGACCGGCTAGACTGGTCCCCCGAGCTCTGCAGAAACTCTCACTCGCATGAGCCAGCTCAGGGCCTTCTTCATTTTGTAGAAACTAGAATAATGTTTAATCAGGGCTTCCATAGGATGCCGGACTGCATTTGCGGTGCTTGCAACTGCCACAGAAACATCCCTTTTCACTTCGGCATCTGCCTCCATCAGATCAACGGATATCTGCACATCCGGTGGCCATGTGCTCTTGTACCCCCTGAGGAAGCTTGGGCCACAGAACCAAGATTGAGGAACAGACTCGGCACTACACCCACGTGACAATACGTCCGCAGGGTTTTCCTTTCCCTTTACATGGCGCCATTGATCTGGATCACTGTGTTGCCTGATGAGCGACACTCTATTTGCGACAAACGTCTTGAATCTCATGGCATCATTCTGGATATAGGCCAAGGTTATACGGCTGTCTGTCCAGAAGGTTGACCTAAGCAGTGGCACCTCCATTTCTCTTCTGATGATGCAGTCAAGCTTGGCTCCCACCACAGCAGCAGAAAGTTCTAGTCTGGGGAGGGTGATCTTCTTGACTGGTGCTACCCTAGCCTTGCTGGCTAGCAGGGTCACGTGGACTTTCCCTGCTTGATTTATCATTCTTAGGTAGGAACAGGCTCCATACCCTATTTCGCTGGCATCACTAAAGTGGTGCAACTCCATCGCACTTCCCCCGAACCCATGGATCTGGAATGACACACCTCGGAAACTTGAGTTTGGGAACATCTGCTAAGGATGCTAACCAGGCAATCCATCTTTGACTAATTCTAGGAGGGACTGTCATATCCCAGGG